GTGGTGCTAGCTGCCAGTGTGGTGGTACCATGGCCAGGGTAGACACGGGTGCAGCTGGCATTTCCCAGGCACCCATCGAGTGCGGGGCTGCGGCCCATGAGATGCTCACAGGACACAGAGAAACATCACGGTCCCCGCTCCGGCACCGCTCACGGTGTAGAGAATGCAGCGTCTGGGATTCCCAGAGGCGAGGCCTATTAAAGGAAGCCTAGGGAACCATGGAGACTCGGGCTCCTGAGAATTCCAGGGGAAGTCAAAGAAGCAGCTTTCTAGGAAAAAAACCTCCTGGACAAGTGAGGTCTCATTTCCCTGGGAAAATGGCCTTTGGAAGTGAAAATTCGGGCCATCTGCTGTTGGAAGTTTGAGCCACCTTCTAGTCACAAAGGCAGCGTGGTAGAGCAGAGGGGTGCTGAGCCTCGGGTACTGGGTCACCCTTAGATTGGAACTCTGGTGCTGTGGAGCACTTGGGAAACTTCTGAGCTTCAGACCCTTCAGCGTGTACGTTTATAAAACCTAACAGGATTGCTTTGAGGGTGAATATCATCATACGCATGTGTTCAGTCCTAAAGGAATTCCAACAGTTATTTGAGATGGGGTCTTGCTACGTTGCTCAGGCTGGTCTCAAGTTCCTGAGTTTAAAGTATCCTTTTGCCTCAGTCTCCCAGGTAGTTGGCTCTACAGGTGCCCATCTGGCTAGGAAATTTTGACTCTTGTTATTGATCCACTCAAAAGAGTTGGGAGGGATCAACAGGAAGTGAAATGTGCCCTTCCAGTGCCTCCTAACCCAAGCCTAGTGTTTGGGGTAGATGCAGCGTGGGCTGCGGATTGTATCTGGCTGGAGGGTTCATAGAAACCTCAGAGAGCCTATGTGGTGGACACTGTTACCCAAAGTACACATATAAAGACACGAATGGGTGTGAATGTACTCTGCACACAACCAGAGATATGAAAGATTGTGCTCTCTCTGTGTAATAAGAATTGCAATGCATTCTGCTGTTATATATAAATAAAAAATTAATTAAAAAAAAAAAAAGAAACCTCAGGGATCCTGGTTTAGGTCTCTGGTAAATTTGGTCCAAGGTGCCCTCAGAAGCCCTGCAGAACAAATGTTCTCGAGACCAACTCTGGGAGTCCAGAATTCTCTAGTGCCACTGCATCAGGGTTTCCTGAGAATAGCCTTACCTCTGTCCCCAAACTGACTTGACTGATAGGAATCGGGGCCTGAAGTACGGTTTTCCTCCTCTTAACAGACAGATCCTTTAACACCTTTCATAATGTTTTAAAGTAAAATAAGGAATTGATGTCAACCCTAATGCGGGCAGGTAAACCCCTTACGTTAAATCTGTGTGGACTTCTAGGAGTGAGTGTGAAGCTAACGTTTTGTGATTCAGGCAGAATATTCTTACTTTCAAGACCCTCTCCCAGTTGGTCCTATTTGATGATCCCAGAGGCCAACAGAAGATCCACTCTTTGGCTTGTGTGTATACAGATATTTCTGGACACCATGAAAGTGCTTCTCAGCCTTCTCAATGTCATATATATTTGCACATTCCACTTAATTTAGGCCTTCCTGATAGTTGTTAAAATATTTTCCTTTTATAAAAATAGTATGGTCTTTGCATCCGAAGTCACTTACCAAAGAGAAAC